CTAGACGTCTTACCCCACCAACTAAATCCTCCAGGGTCAGGGATGGATTACATCTTGTTGAGTCATGGGCCAGAGGGGTCCCATGGAACTCCTCAAACAATAGGCCATTGCTAAGGCTATTGGTTGCTCTCCACAAACTGGTTGTGTTGGTCCATGACTGAAGACACAACTTCATTAAAATGGAGAAATCAGGCCGGTATCCAGCTAGAAACTTCACCCCTACTGACTAGTATCCACAGTGCTGTAAGGTAACTCCACAGGCTACCAGAGGAGAAGGGTCCCCGTCAATGCCACCCACTACAAACATGTTACCTAAAACAGACTTGCCTGCAAGATATATTGGTGCAATCATGGCACAAATGTTATGGGAGTAACCGGCCACCTCCTTATGGAATTTAAGGCCCACCACATGAGATGCAACCCATGCCTGATGCTACTAAAATGGCCAAGAACCTGAGAGTAGGGGGGGGGGGGGGGGGGGGGGGGGGGGGGGGGGGGGGGGGGGAGAGGACCAAATACAATTATTCTGCCAATAAAACTTGACCCTCATCAGAGATGTTTCTCCTTGCAGTCCATGGTAATTAACATAGCAAAGCACAAATGGACAATGTGCAGAGAGAGACTCTGGGGCACTTGGTCCTAAATGGGCTGTCTTCATCGAAACTCTCCCCTCATGGCTCAGGGATCTATGTGAAAGATGGGGCGGGGGCAGGAAGACTGTGAAAGCCAGAAGTGATGGGTGACTCCACAGAAACAGCATCCCCCAGACAGGAAAGGGCTGATGCAAGACGAACTCAAAGAGACTGTGACAGCATATGGAGACCTTCACAGGTTCAAACCAGACAAAATCCCAGCACTCAGAGGGGGAAGAGGAAACCAGGTCCCACCTTTTATCAAGAAGCTATTTACAAATGATGCCTTCCAGGAAAGGGAAAATTTGTGTTCTCCAATGGAGTGTCACTGAGTGTGTCAACCACACCCCGAGGCAGGCCTATGCACAGAAGTAGTCCAACACGAAACAGATTCTGTGGGGTTTTTTGTTGTTGTTTTGTTTGTTTCTTGTTTTTGATTTTTGGTTTTTGTTGTTGCTGTTGGTTGGTTGGTTGGATGGTTGGTTGGTTGCTTGGTTGTGTGTATGTGTTTTGTCTGTTTTTTTTCATTTCTAGTTTGTTTTCATTTCATTTGTTTGTTTGTTTTGGGGGGTTTGGGGGGAGAGAGAACATGAAGTTGGCTTGGTAGGGAGCCAGGGAGGATGTGAGGGAAGATGAAGAAAGAATACAATCAAAAGGCACTCTGAAAAAAACACTTTAAATAACTACTGTTAAATGCTGTGGATTTCCTACTCCCTACACGATCAACTGAAATCACATAACACAAAATTCACGAGGGTTGGAGTTGTTTAGTCTTTGGGGTCCTGGGATAGTTTGACACTGATGTCAGCAAGAAGCAGGTCACAGGTATTTGAACGGCAGTCTAGTTTCACTGGCATGTAGAGCATCCAGTCCAAGTCTCCTAGCTCACGCCATTATGAAGACATTTAGTATTAGGAAGCAGATTAAAATGAGATTTTCCCTCACTGTGCCCTTTAAGCCTGCGGTCCCCTGCCCTCAGGTGTCCTTGCCTATCTGTGGTGTCTCTGCAGTTGTTGCTTTTCTTCACGAGTGGCTCCCATGTGCAGTGATTTGGGGACACAGCAGAGGAGATTATGTGTAATCAGTTATCTGAACATAGTAAGACTTTCTAGAAGATGACACTTCGAAACTATAGATTTTTTTAAAATAACACAAAGGCTAGAAACTCATTTTTCTATAAATTTGTTAAATTTGGTTCCATATACTTTGTTCACCATGGTATCAAACCCTTTCTAGACTACAGAGTGCCATGGTTCGGGACTGAGACTGTGGGGGAAGGTGTGTGAAGAGCAGCTTTCCTCCTGCTCCCCCAGGGAACTGAAAACACGGAGTTGTCATAGTCCAGACTGTGGGGTTAGCAAACAGACACATTAGCTGATGCTTTGGGGCAGTATTATTTGATGCTGACACAAATACCCTGTTTGTTTCTAGCCAATGTACATAAGGATAGAGGGAGTCAATTCAGAGAAAACGACGTCATGGGATGAAAGAGATGACGATCCTTCTGTAAGTCTTCAGAACGGCAGCGCCATGGCCACTGGAGGAGCAGACTCCATAGACGAAAGACTCTCTTTCATGTCTTTTGATGAAAAGGTGACCATAGGAACTTGTGATGTTTGTGTATAGTCTCTCTCTCTTTCCCTCCCTCTCCTCCCCTCTTTCTCTCTCTCCTTTCTCTCTCTCTCCCTATATCTGTCTCCACATCGTTTTTATAAGTTATTTTTACATCTGAGTGCACTTGAACCATCCATGTGCCCATGAAGAGGGTGTGCTCGTTCCCCTTGAGCTAGAGTTACAGGCGATTGTGAGCCATCCCACATAAGTGCTGGGAGTCAAACTGGGGTCCTCTGAAACAGTAGCAAATCTCTTACCATTGGCCCATCCCTAGCCCCTCTACCTCATTTTGAGATATGTTTCCTATACTGGTTGATTCCACTCTATGGCTAGCAAGCCTCAGGGACTCTCCTGTCTCTGCTGTTTGGGTGCTGGGGTCACAGGCATGCTGCCTCCCTCACCTGACCTTTTGTGGGTTCTAGGAATCTGAACTTCGGCCCTCGAGCTTCGGCAGAATGTGCTTTGCCAACCTTCTCTTTCCCCACTGCCTTACCAGGGACACACCCCGCTTTATCCCCAGAGCATTCACTCAGTTATTCAAAATGGACTAGGGAATTTGTTAATCATAACTGATTTTATAGATTAGAAAGCCAGGTGTCTTCATAGGCACGTTCAGTACTAAAGCAAGAAGATAAGTAGAACCGCAGTGGTCTTTTTTTTTTTAAACCTATTGTATGGATGAGAATTTTCTATATTAGGTCAATTCAGTTCTGGGAACAGAGCCCAGTGCTCTTGGTAGAGTCTGAGACGTGACTGGGGTATCTGGAAGCTAACACAGCTGTGCACAGCATCTGGTTACTTGTCTTGTGGCATCGTTGGTTTTGTGACTCTCTCTATACCCAGGTTATGCACCTGTCTTCCAAGTTTATGCAAAGACGCCTTGACAGGATATCACCAGAACCACCGTCGGAAACCACAGTCCCGGACACAGAGTCAATGGCTGGTGAGAAGAATGAGGTGGCAAGGGACCAGTTCCTGCTGGTTGCTCAGGGAGGGAAATGGTATGTGGGTAAGGTCCCTAGAGCTCCCTGGGTTCTGTCTGATTTCTCCTTGATCCCCTTCATCTGTCTTGGTAACCTCTCCCAACACAGTTGCAGAGCCCAAACCAGCTCTTCTGGGTCATCCCTAGCCCTTCCCATTCTGCTTGTTGGCTGGTGACAGTACCTGCCTGTTGTATCCCTTCCTGTCCAGCACTTGTTGACTTCCCTCTGAGCTCAAGCTGTCTATCCGGGTACACAGCCTTTCCTGTCCCTGTGGGTCCCACCTGCAGGTTCCCACAATGGCAGGAAGAATGCCTCGCTCCAGCTGCCATCAGCGGTGACCATCATAATCTCTGTGTTCTTGAGCTTGACTGAGGGTGTGCATGAACTCTGCTACGGAGCCTTTGCACAGAGCCCTGGCTGCCAGGCTCAGCTGCACCCTTAGTGGGCAGAGAGAGGCCTCTCATCCACCTGTAGCCTGACTCTTACCCACCCTCTTTCGCTGTCCATGTGAGTCCCCTCTGACATGTTGAGCCCTGGACCCTTGTGCACGGGTAAGCACAGCACTGTCTCTCCCTGCTCCTGTGTGGCATTTCTGGACCTCTGTGAAGTAGTTACATTTCTGTTGTTGTGATAAAGCACCATGACCATGACAACCTGTAGAAGGAAGATTGGGCTTATGATTCCAAAGGTCTAGTTCATAATGGCAAGTACTATAAGCACAAAACAGAGAGCAAACGGAAATTAGGCCCAAGCAATATACTTCCTCTATCAAGGTGGTACCAATCAAACCTCCTTTAACAGTGCCACAAAATGGAGACCAAGTCGTCAAATATCTGAGCCGACATATTCTGTGTGTTGGTTAGTTTTAACCGTCAACCTGACATAACCTAGCATCGCCTTGGTGGAGAATCTTAGTGAGGAACTGTTTAGGTCAGGTCAGCCTGCAGGCATACCTATGAAGAACTGTCTTGACTGTGAATTGATGTAGGGGAACCCAGGCCATTTCGGACAGCACCATTCCCCAATCAAGGGGTCCTAAGTGGTATGAGAAAGCCAGCTGAGAGCAAGCAAGCAAGCAAGCAAGCATGCATGCATGCATTCCTCTCTCTGTTCTTGGCTGTGGGTGTGCGGCTCTCAGTTCCTCAGCTGCGGTGACCTTTCCACCTACTCTCAACTGCCCTGGATGCACAGTGCTCATTATCCACTGCCTCCGGCTCCTTCCACATGTCTAGTGGGTGGTTGGCACTGGGTTTGTAACTTTTCTCTTCCTGTGTCTGCCCCCTACCAGGGCAAAAGCAGCTTCAGGACAGATACCACCCTCTGCTAGCTTAGTCTTCTGGATCCCAACATGTAGAGAAGATACAATCAGCAAACAAGAGTAGACTGTCTCTCCACTCAGCACTGCATGGTTTTCACACCATCAGTCGACGGTTCCGCACAATGACCTGGGCGGGGGAGGAGAATGTGTCGGAACATAAACTGGGACTTGGAACTCGAACTGGGAACACGTCATTTCTGCTATTGGCACTCAGTCTCTTGAAAAGCACTTCTCTGCTGTTTCAGATATATGGTCCTCCAATCCAGAGAGTTCTGAAGGTGAGCTTCTCACACAGGTTCAAGCAAGCAGGCTCCTCCCTGGTTTTTGCCGGAATCCACTGTGGCTGCAGGTAGGTAGGGTTTCACCTGGCAGGGAAGTTGGGGCAGGAAAACCAGGACGTGGTGGCAGGAACGGCTACTCCATCCCTTTTTTTTTCCTGAGCACAGAAGGCTATGGTGGCAACAAACGCACCCCCCACCCCCAGTCTCTGGGCACACAGCCTTTCAAATGAGAGAAACATGACATTCCTTTAGTCATTGGAGGGCTACATTAGACCAGTGGCCAAAGGAGAGTCAAGCTTCTGTGGCTTGAGGATTTATTCTGTTCTTTTTATTTGCAATTTTCAGTAGAAATAAATGGAATAAAAGACAAATGCAAAAGAAATACCCTAGGTTCATAGCCAGAGTCACTTCATAGCTACACAATATCTGATAGGAATGGCAACAGGGTTAAGCCATTTTCTCCACAGGATGAAATGTGGGTTGTAAAGTTTTGGTTTTTTGTTTGTTTGTTTGTTTGTTTGATTGATTGATTGATTGTTTTTTTTCCACATAAAGATGGGCAATGGGGAGGGGATCCCCAAATGCAGTCAGTAGCCCTTCCCAACATTATCAGCAATGTGAGATGGGCTCAGTTTCCATTAAACTCCTGCAACTGATTCATCTCAAGGCCTCAGTGACATTCACTCACTCATCACGCTCACCCCAGCACTGATCAAGCATGGTCCATAAGATGGAAGAAACACCTTTACAAACACAAGCTTGGTCCCAAGAGCCAGTGTTGTTGGCCCTGTAGTTCTCACAGGGTTATAAACTCTCCACAGCATCTTCTGAGACGGTCAGGAACTCTTAGAGAAGTATCACACTCCATGGACCTGAAGAAGGATAATGAGACACAGGAAAAGCGGCACCCAAACGGCAAGGTAGGGGTCCACAGCACATTGTCTGTGTTGTATGTAGTCCAAGCAGACTGCCTTGGACTTACAAGCTGGTGGTCATTGCACCTCTCTCTGGAGCAGCACTGGTGACCAGCTTGCTTCCAATTACAAACACATTCTCTGAGAGGAACATCTACCTCTCTCACTACCTCCCCATTGGTATCTCAAGAAGAGCTTTTGTCCCAGAGATCTGCTGCCAGAGGGCTGAGGTTGCCTTGGGGAGGGTGGGAAGGGGTGAGCTTCTATGGCCCAAATGCACAGCTGAAGCAGTGACAGCCAGCTGTTTGCTTACAGCACCTTTGCTTTCACCCTCTCCTGCTGGAGTAGTCAGTCTCCTTGCTTCTCCTTGTTTTTTGGAACTTTGGGCTGGGTAGATCTTCACCCTTGAAAGTAAAGAACTCTGAATAGATGAGCAAGGACTTTGCAGCTTTGCACGAAAGTCTCCTTGCTCCTCTTCCTTCCCCCTCTCCTCCTCTCAGGCAGGTTTCAGCTTTTATGGACTCAGACTCACCATGTTAACACACTGACCTTGAATTTCTGATTCTCCTGCCTCCACCTCCCAAGTAACCACTGAGATTACAGGTGTGGACCACCACAGTCCTTTAAGATGCACTGGAGATAGCGCCCAGGGCTTCAAGCAAGCTGGGCGAGCAGTCTACCCACCGAGCCGCACTCCTAGACCCTTCCTTTAGCTGTTTCACACGGTTGTTGGACAAAGAGACATAGCTGCACAAAGCACTGGCTTTGGTGACAACCTTGTAAGGAGCAGGGTGGCGCTGGCTAGTCCAGCAAGTCATGGGCCAGTCTTTGGGAGCCACAGGGTACAGATGTGCAAAGCGGGTGGTCTGTGGCATTCTATTCTGCTATGTCCGCTACTGGGCATTGCTGACCTCACCACCCAGCTCCCTGGATACCTCTTTTACAGTTCCTGTCACATCACTGTGTCTTCTGATGCTTTATCCTGAATCAATCTATATGTGTCTTGTATCAGATATGCTGAAATTCTTCTCTTTTTCATATTATAAATTTTATTCACTTCAATTAAAACTTTATGATAAAAATTTGGCAGTAAGAAAAGTCACACACTAAAATCAATCAGACCCAAAGTCTATACATCTCAATGCTCTTCCACACAGAATAGCCATTTTCAGGCTGTGGTGAGTCAGACTAAATTTTATACTTTCACTGTCCAATGCATTTTTATGCAATTATCTACCACTAAAAAAAAAAATGAAAACTCCACAGCAAAGTCTAAACTAGAACATAATTAGCTTTATATCCACTTTTGTGGCTCATATCCTATTGGGGGGAGTGTTTTGTTCTTGTTTTTCAAGACAGGGTTCCTCTGTGTAACAGCCCTAGCTGTCCTGGAACTCACTCTATAGACCAGGCTGGCCTTGAACTCTCAGAGATCCACCTTACCCTCTGCCTCCCAGTGCTGGGACTAAAGGTATGGGCCAACACCGCTGGGCTAGTATCCTGTTTTTATAATGTAAAATTTAAAACTCACATGACAATGCATGACTTAGTAATGACATGCTCTCAGAAGTCCCACAAACCTAGATATCCTCAGTCATTCAACATGGCCTTCTGATGCCAGCAAGGGCTGTGGTGAGTGTGATGAGCAGGGCTTCATTGGCAAAGCAGCACACACCACAGTCTAGGGCATTTCTCACAACCGGGAAAGGCACTGAAATAATGATAACATGGGAGAGTAAATGTACAAATAACTGTCACAGGTGTCTGCTGTTAGTGTCTGATGTAGACCAGATATCAGTATGGGATGACCCAGCATCACCACAAATGCTTAGGGATGCTCAATGCCACATGGCACCAGGTGACAGGAAATTACAAGCTCCATTAATTACTGTCCTATACAATGACCATCAAAGTCTATGCAGCTGGTTATCTACCAGAGCACTGTTATAGAACCGGTCCATGCAGCTGTGGTTGATGTTATGATTTCCCTGTGTGGAGCATTAAGAACACGTGTGTGTGTGTGTGTGTGTGTGTGTGTGTGTGTGTGTGTGTGTGTGTGTGTGTGTGTGTGTGTGTTGTTTGGAGAGAGCCACCGATCATTGAAGCATCGCTGGAGCTTTTTTAAAAAAATTTATTTATTATGTATGCAACATTCTGCTTCCATGTATATCTGCACACCAGAAGAGGGCACCAGATCTCATAAGGGATGGTTGTAACACACCATGTGATTGCTGGGAATTGAACTCAGGATCTCTGGAAGAGCAGTCGGTGCTTTTAACCTCTGAGCCATCTCTCCAGCCCCCTCACTGGAGCTTTTCTGGCTGGCCGAGACCAAGAACTCATCTTCTGATCCTGACCCTCAACTTGTACATTCACCTGGTGTGTTTGTGAGCAAGGGCATAAGTTCATAGACTTAGCTCAAACCTCCAGCGTATTGGCTGTCAGCTGGGTTTGGCTGGCTAGCTCTCTGATTTGTTCATAAGTACTAGTTTTTAACTCTGCTTATAGGTTTTTAACCCTACATTTCCAGCTACACTAAGAATAGTTATAATATGTGGCATATTTAATAAATGCTAATGGAGTTTTTAAAATATACACATATTAACTCCCCAAACTGATGTTTCTGCCAGTGTCTTTGTTTACACTAATCTTTACAGGGTAATGTCATCTACCAAGAACCTAGCAGTATACATTTGAAGTTACTTATTTGATTTTTTTTAATCAAAGCCATTAGTGTAGTGTATGAGTCAACAGGATAAGAAAAGGAAAAAATGCACAAAAAAGTTAATTTTTGCATAGTAATCTTGCAATTTCATCTGGCCCAGGATTTCAGGTTCATCAGTCCTATGACCAGAGACCATACAGACCCATGGCAAATGCACAGCATCAAGGCAAAGGCAGGCAGACACTGAGAAACAACTTATAACATTTACTATTGATGATCAAATGCAGGGTGGGGATTGGGAGCTCATCAGTGTGTGTGTGTGTGTGTGTGTGTGTGTGTGTGTGTGTGTGTGTGTGTGTGTGTGTGTGTGTGTG